ATAAATTCCACGGTAACCTATATATTTTATTGTAAAAAACAAAACCTAAATATTTCAAAAACCTTATTTTTAGTTTTTTTCTACTCCATCTAATCAATAAATAATAGTAAAATTAATTATAATTCGAAAATTGTTGAAGTCTTACTTTCTCATAAGACACTGTACACACACATTTTTAAAAAAAAAAATTCTCAAAAATTTGCACGGTAAGGTATAGTTAAAAGTTCACTATTAGATAAATAAGGACATCTACTATTAGAAAAAAATTAATTTTAGTCATAATCTAATATTTTTTATTTAACATTGGTGGCGAAAGGACCTCCTTAACATAATAGACTGGTTAAAAGTATACAAGTAAAAGAAGTAAAAGAAAAGAGAAAATGTTCAACTAAATTATGTTTAACATAAATAATAAGTTCTTTCTTTTTAAAATTTTGAGGCAGATGATTGAATTGATCATGATTCATGAAATACGCTTTTCATAGAACTACTTTTATTAGTCGTTTGTACATAAAATTTGATAGAGTTTGCTGTTCTTGTGTTTCTTTGATGTATTTCTGTGACAGGAATTAGTTGACAGTTAAGATATTCAGGCAACAAATTGTTTATTATTTTAAATATAAAAACCATTGTGTGTACACATAACAGTTTTTCAACACTTAAGGCATCTAACATAAACTGAATACTGGTATATTTGTTACAACCTAGTATCACTCGCATTGCTTTGTTTTGTAGGACCTGTAGTCTATCAAAATTGGAACAACCTGTATATATTAAAGAACAGCAATAGTAAAAGTGGGGTAGAATAAGTGTATTATATACAGTCAATTTAGTTGAAATTGATAGATATAATGACTCTTCGTAAAAATCCTATTTTTTCCTACTTTTTTTACAGATATACTCAATGTGTTTATTAAATTTTAGTTCTCTATCCAACATAACTCCTAAATACTTTATTTCTTGGACCATTTCATTATTTATTTTAATGTCTAAATTTAAATTCAAAAATCTATTGTATAGAAAGTTGTTACCAATGAACATACATTTTGATTTCATCTCATTAACTTTTAATTTATTTTGTTTAAATTAAGATGTTAATAACCCCAATTCATGGTTGACGGTCTCAGCAACTTCAGCAAAATCATCCACATAATAATAGATAAACGTGTCATCATTTTTTAAGAACCTGTCCCAGGTCATTTATATAAAGTATGAATAGTAAGGGTCCAAGCACGCTTCCCTGTGGCACCCCAAAAGTATTTAATTCTGGATTTTAGTTACTTGATATCTATTTAATAAGTAATTATACAACCAATCATAGACAGTTTCCCTAAATCCATATTTTTTTAATTTTTGAAGTAAAATTTTAAGGTCAATCGTTTCAAATGCACGTTTAAGATTATTAAAAACTGCGCAGATACCAACTCCTGATTTATTAAGAATATTTTTTATCTTTTATTATTTCCTTTATTTAGCTAGTTTGCTAATATCACAATATACAAATTTAGTAAAAATATACATAAATAATTTACATACAATTAAAACTAACTAAAATTCTATAGGTTGTTACTGTTTCTGGAGAAACATTCATCAATTAAGAAATCTGGCACTTAACTTTAAATGTAGTTACAGACGTTACTGATTTAATTTTCTCTGGAAGTGCGTTATATTGATTTAGACCTTTAAAAAATAGTGAATTTTGTGTGGCACTCTTAACAATTGTTTCAGTATAAAAGTTATTTCTGTTCCGCGTTGGATAATTGTGCACATTAGAGTGATAATTAAGCTTCTCTTTTAGGTACATTGGAAGTAACCCATGTTTGATTTTATAAATAAAAATTAATGCATTCCGTAATAAGATACTTTTGATTGGCATCCACCTCAAAGTTTCAAGCATTAGATTAATGGAAGTAGTTTTTGAACAGGATAATATTATTCGCATAGCCCTATTCTGCAGCTTCTGTAGTCGGTTCAACTCATTTTGATTTAGTAAAAAGAGTATTGTAGAGCAATAATTAAAGTGAGGTAGAATTATAGTATAATATTTATTTCATTTAGTCCACTGTGATAAGCCAAATGAACTTCTAAATAGGAAATTTAACTTAAATGCAATAGTTTTGATAACAGTGTTGGCATGATCTATGAATCTCATCTGCTTGTCAATCATTACCCCTAAGTATTTGAATTTTTTTACTAACTGTATAGAATTGTTATGTTATATTGTTTATCAACAAACTGTGTATAGTTATAGTTGCTGCTTATCAGCATACATTTTGTTTTATTTGTGTTAATTTTCAACAAATTATTGCAACACCATTTAAAAACATGTTGCAGTGTTTCATTAACAACGCTTACCAAGTTATCTGAATCCTTACAAGAAAAATATATTAGGGCATCATCAGCAAACAGGTGAATGTCACATTGACCCTTGAAATCAACAATGTCATTGATATACACTAAAAACAACAGGGGACCCAATATACTTCCCTGCAGAACACCTCTGATATAGTTAAATTCCTCTGACAAAATGTTATTTACTTTTAACTTTTGTTTCCTCTTACTTAGATAATCCACACACCACTCCAATGCTTGCTCTACTATACCCATACTATTCAATTTTTTTATCAAACAGTTTTGATCAACAGTCACAAATGCCCTTTGAAGATCTATAAAAACTGCCAATGTTAGATAGTTTTTATCAAATTTATATTTCCAATCATATAAACCACACTGGATAGCTGATTCACAGTTATGTTTGCTTCTGAAACAACTAGTTGTAAAGCCGACTCACAAGAATGTGCTTTCCTAAATCCCGATTGATAACTGCATTGTATTTTATTTGAAGTTATAAAATCCATGAGTTGATTGTACACAACTACTTCTAAAAAAATTTTACAAAATGGAAGCATATTTATGGGTCGCAACTGATCTGCCTTGTTTGTATTTACTATTTTTGGGATTGGAATTATTGTTGATGTTTTAAATCTCTATGGAACAATACCCTTATCTAAACTAGTATTTATTAAATTAAGTAATGGATAACCAAGTACATGAAATAGATTCATAATGATATCAATACCTATCTCATCTGTACTAGACTTCTTTTTTTGAGTTTTAATTACTTCATACAAATTGCTTAGGGTAACTGTTCTAAACTTCATCATTGATGATTCGTTGAAGGGAACTGTTTCCAAGCAAGCTTCAAAGTCATCATCACTTATATCAATAGTTAACACAATATTCTAAATGCTACCCACGTAATATTGATTTAAAACATCAGCAAAATTCTCATTACATTATGACCCTTTACACACCAAACTAATGTGGTTTGTCGAATTTTTTGTTTCAACTATTCGTTTAAGACGTTTCCATATTAACTTTGGATTTCCCTTGTTTTTATCTATATTTATTTCATAAAAATTACGTTTGGCTTCCCTATAACTCCGACCACATTCATTTTTTTTAGTTCATACTTCTTCTAATCATCTGCATCATTTGTAAATGTAAATGTTTTGTGAGCTATATTTTTATCTTTAATGGCTTTTCTGCATTTATTGTCAAACCACTTATTATTTACATTATGTACTTGAGTATATTTTGTAGGAGCTATAAAATTAATTACTGATAATACATTATCTAGAAAAATATCTACTAGAACATTAACATCAACTACAGAATATCCCCAATCCCTTTCAATCAAGATGTTGACCATTTTATCATAATTTATATTCATACGATTTTTTTTAGTTTTCTCTAAATTAATATTTAAATTTTGTATTTTGACTTGTAGGTATAATGAAATGGTCTGATATTATGTAATTTTTTTTTTCACACAAGCAGTTAAAGTGAAATCATAAGTTAACAGGAGGTTAATTGTTGACTTAGCATCCTTATATAAATTCAGTAATTAGTTGTTTTATCCCATTATTTTCAATATGTATTTCTATAAGGTGGGGAGGATGGGTTTGCCACACAGCACTTAGGGCTCACTAGATCAGTAGTGTCACCATAGATCTGAGAACTGGTTGCCTCAATTAAGTATATTATTTCTTATCATGCATAAGGAAATTACATTTATTATTCTCTTTAGATAAGCAAAGCAGGTCCAAATATTTGATCTTGCAGCACTGTAATATTGAGTTTCCACGAAGTAACATTTTATGTTCTAATCCTATCGATAGTTCAATGTTCCATTTAAGTTTTCATACTTGTGAACCAGCTAATTAAATAAAAAAACGATTAAAGGTAAAAACCAGTTTTAAAATGGTTTTCTCCATTTTCCACATATAATGACTCTGTTGGTTAAAACATGGGCAACCATTTATTTGTTTTAGTGCATTACTGCTGAGTCAGGATCTTTCAAGAGACTATTTGTGGTCGCTATATCCTAATTTATTATCCAATCTCCTATATTTTAATAGCAGATAGGAATGATAGGATACCATTGTCATTCAATACTACAGATCCTCTTGGGTTGATTATTTGCCTCATCTCTTCTTATTAAAGCTACTAATTAAGTAGTTCAAATACATTTTAAACTTGTGATTACTAAAATTATAATTTCTACAATGTGCCAAATCCATTGCTTTTACCTCTTAAATCATGTGTAATGTGTAAGATACTCATGATAAAATAAATATTTTAAATATCGTTAGTCACTTTATCTCCACATGCTATGTAGGTAATTAGGATATATAATGACTTAATAGAACAAGAAAATTAATATCTTATTGATTAATAATAAAAACACTTTCCAAGTCTGGTAAAATAAAAGCTAGTCTTGTGGATACATGGATACAAAAGTTCCATTAAAATATGAAACCTCAGAAGGAGCCTTGATTACAATTCTACAAAATATATCTATGTAAATCTAATAAATTCCGTTAGACCTTTTTAACAAATTACCTGTGAAATCAAACAAGCTTACAAAGAAAATAATATAAAAACTCACGTGTAAAGTAGTGGATAGTAATAAACATGATATAAAGAGTTTAACCTACCTGCTGGTCCATCAATGTACGCTTGAATATCAGTTACGTCCTCTTCATTAATTTGAACTTTTATTCCTTCAGGTGGATTATTGACTAGATCTTGCATTTCCTTTACAACCCCTCTGATTATTTGTGGGGAGAGGTTCTCTACATTATTTGACATCTGAAACAAATTTATTAGCATGTTGACTATTTGTTGCATGGATTTTATACTTACGTTTCCCGCAGAAGCCATTAATATAAAATATCACAATTATTTAACAAAAAAAATTAACAATTAGACCAAAAATACATTAGAATATCGTCATAACAACTTCAACTTGGCGTTCGAGAGAAGTCAGAAACATTTTGAAATTCTTGGACCAATCAAAACGCATCCTTCATTCACGATCTCTGTTTATCTTCACGAAGTACGTTCCGAAATTTGGGAAAATTATAATTTTTAAATAATGGATAAGGTCGGTAAGGTCCATTCCACCGTTGTGTTAAACGAAGTTTAAAATGACATTTTTACATTAAGCGCCGATTCCACCCTATGATTCCACCGTTGTGTTAAACGGAGTTTAAAATGACATTGTTAATGTAAAAATGTCATTTTAAACTTTGTTTAACTCAACGGTGGAATCCACAAAGGTAGAATCGGTCCTGGTCCTGGGTCGTATGATTGAACGTTTATGTTATCCGTAACGTACATGTTAGGCTGAGTTTTAACAGTAACAAGGCAAGTTCGTACGATGGAAAACTTTTTCTAACACATTACTGTTATTTTCCGCCTGTTATGTTCTAATTTAACAGGTTTCCATCATAAGAACTTGCCTCGTTACTTTTAAAATTTGGCCTAACATGTACGTTACGGATAACGTAAACGTTCAATCATAGGACCCCCTAACAATGTCATTTTAATCTCCGTTTAACACAACGGTGGAATGGGCTCTAAATTAAATAAATTTTAGATGTAATTCATTTTTGATTTTGATGAAAAGGATAAATGTTGCATTATAAAAACAAATACTTCTGATTTCAGATTGCAACCATTCCCAAATAACGCACATTTTTTGCTTACAACAATCCCAATGTAAGGCATAATTCCACAGCTAGTAGTTAAGGGTCGATTCCACCGTTGTGTTAAACGGAGATTAACATGACATTGTTAATGTAAAAATGTCATTTTAAACTTCGTTTAACACAACGGTGGAATCGGTCCTTAGCAATGTTATTTTATTTATCGTTTAGGGCTGATTCCACCGTTGTGTTAAACGGAAATTAAAGTGACATTGTTAATGTAAAAATGTCATTATAAACTTCTTTTAACACAACTGTAGAATCGGTCCTTAGGGGCGATTCCACCGTTGTGTTAAACGGAGATTAAAATGACATTGTTAATGTAAAAATGTAATTTTAAACTTTGTTTAACACAACGGTGGAATCGGTCCTTAGTAATTTAAACTTCGTTTAAGACACCGGAGTTTAAATTACTAACGCCAAGTTTAAAATGACATTTTTATAGGTGGCTGTGCCAATACATGCGGAAACCAAAATATTTCGGTGCAAATCGTATGCTGTACAAAAAAAATTGTATACATCAGCGCATATGATTTGTATCGAAATATTATCGTTTTCGCGCTTGTTGGAACAAACTTTATATATTATTTTACTCTTCGTTTATAGTAATTTAAATTACAAACCGAATAATAAAATGACAATTATAATGTTAAGTGTTATTTTAACTTTCGTTTAGTAATTTAAACTTTAAATAAAATAAATCACGAAGCCATATGTCACAAAATAATATAGGTGCGACTGTTTCTCTTCAGAAAACAAGTACTCCGTTGGCTAATACCGCGACATGTATTGAATTACATCCAAAGGAAGACAGCAGAAAACCATCTATTTCTTGCTGAAGAGTCCTATAATAAGGACAAAACCGGTCCAAGAATGACGTTCTCCTTAGTGATCAATATCAAAGGTATAGAGTGTTGAAATTTAATTTCTATCTCTGCTGCGTGTTGGAAAAAGTTTTTCATCACACGAACTGCCTCGTTACTGTTAAAACTCGGTCTAACATGTACGTTACAGATAACGTAAACTTTCAATCATAGGACCCCATACGTTACGGATAACGTAAACGTTCAATCATATATGACCCCTAGTCTGTCCCCTTCTGTCGCTGTTGTATCAAGGAAATGTCTCAATGTCTATAACGACCCTTCCAATTCTATTTTCTCAAGGCAGTTTAGGATTTGGATTGGCTTCAAGTTAGGTAAATCTCCCTCTTCTATTTGATATGCTCCTATAGGTATAGTGCCCTTGGATTATGGAGTGATACACATTCAGTCAGAATGTGACTGGAGGTTTGGTCCTCCTCCTCCTCACAGCATCTATACTCACTATCTTATTCTACTACTCTCACTTTACTAAGGTGTTCTTTGAATCGGCAATGTCCAGTACGGACCCTCTGTTACAATACGTAGCATGTTCTTGCTCAGGCTGATACAGAGGCTTCCGGTCTTTTCTGCGGTTATATTCACTCTGAAGTATCTTAGTATAGAGCCCCAAGAGATTTTTCCAATTATCGTTTCTTCTACTACTCAATTCTTTTTTAATCTCTCCTAATATTGTGTTACTGCTGATACCGCAGGTCCCATACAAAGGATGTTTGAGCCCCGGTCGTAAACGAACACAGATAATTACTAAAACGAACTGTTGGTGAACCGTGGTTTTTTTGTACTGTTTTTTATTCACTATTCTTGAATTCTGGATAATAAAAAACAGGTGTTCTTCTTGATCTGCAACGTAAATAATTTGAATAAGGATAATTTTCTCACCGTAGTATGGAATTTTACATAAATAAAAATTTCCTTGGTTTATTATCGGTTTATTATTGTTTTTATTTTCAATAATTTAAGCACAAGCACTACACATATGTTTCCTCATGTTTTAATAAATTTTGACTGCACCAGAAGATGGGAAAATGTTCTGAAACATATATGTAGTGCTTGCATGTGCTTAAATTATAGAAAATAAAAACAATATGACCAAATAAACCAAGGAAATTTTTATTTATGTAAATAATTTGTGTCTGTCCCAATTTTCCTGCAAAATGTCTACTCCCTTCTGCTTACGCTTGAAATTGAGTAGAGAAATATCAAAAGAGCATTTATTTTTCACTGTCTACTTTTTCGTAAAAACTCGAAAGCCCGCCCTGGTTATAAGTTGCGTTCGGTTTGGCCAGGGGCTGGAACCAATGAACTGGAGTGGGGTAGAAAGCCAATGTGCATATTGTATCAATAGAACAAGATGGACTCTATGGGCGCAGCCATTTTTATTTCTCATCTCACTCGGAAGTATTTAAATAACCATTTTCTGTTTCACATTGTTATTGTTCAATCCACAAGCTGGTGGATCAGACAATAACAAAGTGAAATAGAAAATGGTTGTTATAAATACTCCCAAGTGAGATGAAAAATAACCCGTCGCATCTTGTTCTATTGATACAATATGCACATTGGCTGCGTTCATCCGCGCCATTTCAAGGAGCGCTACAAAAGCAGCGATCACTTACGCTACCTGATCGATCTTTATGCACGGATGAACCATGTTTAAAAGTGACATTTGATTTATTCATTTTACTTTTGAGTTGAATGTCTCTGGTTGAAGATTTGTTTGTTTATTTTTCAATTGCTAATATGCTAATATAACCCTACTAGTCACCAAGCAAACCGTGGACGTAAGTGCGTAAGACAGATCAGTGATCACCGATCAGACGTAAATAAAATGCGCTACTTTTAATGGCGGCCGCTCCTTGAGCGAAATGTCAATAAAATACACCGTTCATACGTGCCACTCGAGAGCGCTACCAGATCGATCAGGTAGCATGTGGCGCGGATGAACGCAGCCATTGGCTTTCTACCCCAATCCAGTTCATTATTGATAGAGTCGCATCTCAAGCCTGGCTGGAACCAATGAACTGGAGTGGGGTAGAATGCTTATACGACGCAAGAGAGAGGTCCGACACGCTGTACATAGGGCGCGGCCATTTTGAACCCTGTGACCAGAGACAACCAATGAACTGGAGTGGGGTAGAAAGCCAATGTGCATATTGTATCAATAGAACAAGATGCGACTCTATGGGCGCAGCCATTTTTATTTCTCATCTCACTCGGGAGTATTTGCAATAACCATTTTCTGTTTCACATTGTTATTGTTCAATCCACAAGCTGGTGGATCAGACAATAACAAAGTGAAATAGGAAATGGTTGTTATAAATACTCCCGAGTGAGATGAAAAATAACCTGCCTTTGCCCATAGAGTCGCATCTCAAGCCTATTGACAAGCATCCTACCCCACTCCAGTTCATTGGAGACAACACGAGACGGTTAACTTCATAGCAAAAATTGATTGACATTTAGGTATAGTAGTCATCAGGGTCAGCTGGTATTTTATCTTTGTCATGTACATTATTTCCTTATAACGTTATCTTGTTCTCATAAGCTAAAAGATAGGCTAGATGTCGCTGGTAACGTTCCAGCAATGTTGCCGTTTTGAACATTTTCCAAATTTGTTTCTTTTACATTTAAATAATAATGATCTTATTTATCCATAAGTAATATTGGACTTTTAATTGCTTTGTATATAATATATATAACAAAAGATGTGTTTTAAGAAATATATAGCAGGATTGTGTACAAAGATCAAAAATAAAAAGTCAATAGCACTAGAAGAAAATAAGTTTGGCATCACAGCACGAGCATTTCACTTTGTCCAATTTTTTGTTTCTATGTTTGGTGACTTTGGTGTCGTTCTACTTATATATATATTTTACAATTTAACTTGTAAATTCATTTTTTTGGTTGTTTTCCATTCATTATTAGTTACGTATTTAAATTTGTTAGTTTAGTGTTTTCCCCGGTAAATGACATTTTTATCGTGGTGTTTTCATATTAGGTAGTTTTAAGTTTGTTTAGAACAGAAGTAAAAGTTGGAAATGCTTTTGCCAGTTCTCCCACTTTATACCACTGAACTGTAGAGTTCAGTGCTTTATACACATAAATTGACAGGTTGGCACCGGATCTCACCGAAGTGGACGCGATACATTGGCGTACAAAATTATTTTATAGATTTTAATAACAATTTCGAGTAAATAGTTTAATAAATTGTGAATAGCTGTTGAAATTTTGTAAAATTATAATTTGAATATTATAATACATGTTTAATAATTATTTATAATCCATAAATACATGCGATTGTCCGGTTCCGCCGATAACAATTTAAAATTACTTATTCTATGAAACGACACTGGCAGGTAAACAATGGCTGCGTTCATCCGCGCTATTTCAAGGAGCGCTACAAAAGTAGCGATCACTTACGCTACCTGATCGATCTTTATGCACGGATGAACCATGTTTAAAAGTGACATTTGATTTTGGTTTATTCATTTTACTTTTGACTTGAATGTCTCTGGTTGAAGATTTGTTTGTTTAGTTTTCAATTGCTAATATGCTAATATAACCCTACTAGTCACCAAGCAAACCGTGGACGTAAATGCGTAAGACAGATCAGTGATCACCGATCAGACGTAAATAAAATGTGCTACTTTTAATGGAGGTCGCTCCTTGAGCAAAATGTCAAAATACACCGTTCATACGTGCCACTCGAGAGCGCTACCAGATCGATCAGGTAGCATGTGGCGCGGATGAACGCAGCCATTACTGTGAAATTCTCGGAGCCGCCCGACGTGGTTTGACGTTTACCCCCTCTCTACCTACCAAAAGACTTTTCAACTTTTACTTTCTCTATACAAACCCGAAGGAACTAACAATGCCCGGATCACGCCGGGATTTTGTTTAATTTCCGTAAAGTAAGTATTTCCATTTTATTGTAGAACCTTTGTGGTGTGAATGTTTATTATTGTTTAATACAGAATATATCTTATTATTGAAATCATACTTCGTTTTATTTTCCTTTTTAATGCTTTTTATTTTGTGTGCCTATTTGATGTGCTAGTAAATGTGAATTACATATTTATTCATATTTCCAGTGCATCAAATCAGAAAAAAATCATAAAAATAATAGATAAAGTGGATCTACATATTTGAATTTCCCGCGGTTCTTCTTTTTTAAAAAAAATTAATATTTGACCGGTTGCTTATAAAGAAAAAGGCCACTATTAAAACACAAGGTATACCAGCGCCATCGGCCTTATCTTCCAGTCCAGTCACCCAGTCAATTCTTGGTGAAAAGCAAAATTGCATTGAGTTAACCGTCTCATTAGTTGTCTCTGCCTGTGACACAGTTTACAGCTAAAGAATCAGATCGCTCACTCTGCGTCGGCACTTTGGATCTCAATGTTCCAGTTTATACACTGCGCAACTCGGATAATACAATATATAACAACCGCCTATAATAAAACAGCAGTCTTCTGCGTATCCTGAATTTGTATCCCTGGAGTGGATGTTATTTTGGAACTTTCAACTGGTCCGAGTGAGCTAACTGATTCTTTAGCAATAAACTGTGACTTCAAAAATAATAGGTCTTTTCCTTTGCATCGAAAGTGTAGCACTGAGCTACACCACTTCTGAAAATATCGTTCCATTTATACAAATTGTATGGATGGAACGACATTTTCAGAAGTAACGTAGCTCAGTGCTACACTGTCGATGCAAAGGAAAAGACCTAATATTCACTGACACTGACAGCAGCAAGCAAAATATCAGGTGCGTTTTAATCATCCGCTTCTGCTTCCGGAATTGTCGGTTTAGTCGTTTTAACCTGTCAGATTAAAACAAGAAAACTGACAATTCCGAAGCAGAAGCGGATGATTACGCACCTATTAAAAATATTGCGCCAAGATGTAGGCAACACTTAATAAGGGTTCAAAATGGCGGAGTTTTCTATCTCCTTTTAAAAGGCACTCAGAAAGCCGCGCAGTGCGACCATTCTCCGCATAGTAAAAGAAAATCAAAGTATGTGTTGTCAATAGACTTGATGTGCGACTCTATGGGCGAAGATAGGTTATTTTTCATCTCACTCGGGAGTATTTAAAATAACCATTTTCTATTTCACATTGTTATTGTCTGATCCACCAGCTTGTGGATTGAACAATAACAATGTGAAACAGAAAATGGTTATTATAAATAGTCCCGAGTGAGATGAACAATAAAAATGGCTGCGCCCATCGAGTCGCATCTAGTTATAATAGTATAACATGTACATTGGCATTCTACCCCCCTCCAGTTCATTGGCTGGAACCGGACAGAAGCGAAGTTTTTTAGAATGCGAATGCTTTTAAATGACATTTAAGCGTGTTGAACTGTCATTAATCGGACTAAACGTAATCTATGGACTAAACCGAACGCTAAAAGGGTTGTTTGGAGTTAACAGTGTTAAAGGAGTTAAATGAACTTGGCAGACCGAACGCAATGATAGAGTGTTGTTCCGTGTTTCTGACTTTGAATTCTGCGATTAACATCTATCATCTGTCATTTGCCAAAGGTTTTTAAATTAAAAATTATCCTAAACAAAGAAAGCTAAAAATCGAAGTTGCCACAGTGAGTTAATAATTGTACTTTGCTTGGCTTTTGTTAAAATCAATTACCTTTTTATGTGCACCTATGTTAATAAACTAAAGTGCTTTTTCCATCTTACAAAACATATTTCTATTCGATAAATTTTCAAATTCTGTCTAGGCTATATTTTATGTGAGATCCACAATAAAATACCTACTAAAGTTGGCGTTTTGTGTGACATTCCCTTATTTTTCGAGTTTAGACAATCTAGAAACTTCATAAAACAACGGCAACATTGTTAAAATTCTGAATGTTAAATGTAACGTATAGAGCTGGTTGTCAAAATCTTTAAATCGCATTAAAATTTGCTAGTAATTTTTTAGGAAATTATGTCCGAATCCGTAAGTACACTATTAATTATACATTCCCTTCATTTTACCTTTTTAATCTTTTAAGGAAGATGATGTTAACCCAAGAAATTTTGGGGGTAGTTTTGTAGGTGATTCTCCTCATCCACATACTCCTAAATTCGTTAGATTTTATAACGAGTCCCTTCCCACAGTTCCCACGTCTATTCCAAATGATTATAAATTGATGTATGCCCCTACAATGGTATATTTATATTGTCTTAATTTTCGTTAAAAGTTATGCACATATTTTATTTTTAGGAATCTCAAATACGAAAGCTGAGATTGTCTATGGAGGACTATAGAGAATTAATACTTAATATAAATAGTTTGTTATTATGGGAAAAACAGTGGCACCCTACAGCCATTTTAACAGGTAAAATTACACTAGAAATATATGTATTCTTAGTTCCAGGTACTTAGTTCTTGATATTTACCACAAAATTTCTTGGTTATCTCATGCATTTATGGATGGGGTTAGTATACTGATGTACCAAATGATAATCACTTGAACGAAGTGGTAATAACCCTGGTTGTAAGTTTGTTTATTTTCAATTCAGTTTATCCTATCTTTTTCTCCGTGTTAGCTTTAGTGTTGTGAATATGCATTTAAACTGTAGTGTTTATTGTCCTGCAAGAAATAATAGTTCCAAATAAGAAATTGGTCTTTGCGTTCACAATTTTTACTCATCCAATACTCATCTGCCATTTTTGATGATGATTTTAATAACATTTAGTGTTTAAAAAAACATGAAATGAGGTTTAATGTACCTTATTTGTACACTACTAACTAGTATGTGTAAAACACTCACTATAGTTGTAACTGTCAATTACCTATAACCCTTAATTAAAAACAGCTCTGTAGGTAGATTTACTGCAAAATTTTGGTCATAACTTTGATGCAAAACAGCTGATTTATGATGTCACGGATATATTATCAAATTGAATACTTTTGACCACGAGTATTCAATTGTGACATAAGTAAATTGGATGAGGTCGCTGGGGGTTCCAATGCATCAATTTCCAGAGACGTACTTAAATCTGTCAAATTACAATAGTTTGAAATCATTTTATGTTTATTGAAATACATTTACATCAAATAAAATGCTATCAAGGCAGTATTTTTTAAAAATTAGTGGTGGTATACTTACATTACAAATGTAAAAATATTAATTAAAACTAATTAATTATATATTCTAAAAGGCCATTAAAAAAACATGTGTTTTGTGTACAAAATAGTATACTGATGCTTATTGGAACAGTCCAGGCATTTCAGGTGTATTTTCTGCCAAAAATAGTAAATTTTCTTTATTGGTATTGACAATTTCTATATTGTCATTATTTGCCCTTGATTTTTAAACCAATGCGTCCTGTTGTTTAAAATTTAAAAATATACATAGGTACACATTCCTGAACAGTGACGAACCTACAGAATCTGGTGATCTAAATACATGTCACAATAAAATAAATATTTACAACTTTTCAAAAACTGCAGTTGGAAGGGCTCTATCCTTTTGTCCTTTGCCCCCCTCAGGTTCTCCATTGCTCTTAGAGCCAAAACATGCTTATAAATATTGCATTATAATGATGGCATGTTCATTTTTATTAATAGTAAAATTAATTTTAACATATTGCACACAATTTTACCTTTAACCAAAATAACTTTATCAAGCTTAACCTTTAATAAGGATAAATTTTTTTTTCAATACATTAACTGTTTACAGATCACCTTCGACAAAAAAAAATATTCACAGAGGATCTAGACAATTTCTTTTCCAACATAGATAAAAAATATTTATGATATTATTATGTGTATGGAGATTTAAAATTTGACATATTAGATGACACTAATACATTTAGTAATAATTATTTAAGTATGTCTCATGGATTCTCTTGATACATTAATACTTATACTAGAATTGCATCCCATACTCAGTCTTGTCTATATCACATATTTGTGAGATTGAAATCAACTTCCAATAAAGTTATATAATGCCTTAGTAATTAACACCAATATAAACACCTTCCAGTCTATTTGTCCACAAACAGTAAACATTACCCTTTCTCTAAAAAAACAAACAAATTAAAAAATTTGATAAGATTAAACCTTGGATCACTGATCGAATAATAACTTTGATTAAACATATGCTCGAACATATGGATAAGTTAAAAAACAAATAAAAACCAACAAAACATAGAACTTTTTAATAATTATAAAAATTACAGAAATCAACTAAATAGAATTATAGTGACTTTCAAATCAAATTATTATGCAAATATCTTAGAAAACACTAAAGACATGAAAAAAATTTATAGTTTCAGAAGAGGTGACAAATGAAAATACTAGTAAGACAGAAATAAATATTGTTAATCATGAAACTAATGATACCTTCACTTGTACCAAAGACATGGACAAATTTTTGTAATAAACATACATGTCTTTATAAATTCAGCAGAAAAAATTGATATCCCCCTCCTAACTATGCAATAAATTATCCACAAATACAAGAATCAATGTTTTTAAAAACGATCGACAGAAATCTTAAAAGAAAATAGTAAAAAAATATTAAACTTTATTTTAATATCTCTTACATTATTAATTTAATATTTCAAAGTGGACACATTCCAGAACAACTCACAACATCAGTAATTTCTCTGATATACAAAAAATGCACAGAACAGGGACATACAGATGGGAAACGCAACGACCGCAGCAACAATGGTGTCACCTATGCGTCTCAGATGTTAAAGGTACATGTCGTTTGTAGACAAACAGTAGACGTGGCCAGTTTGTAAATATAAATGTCAATTAGTTTTATATATATCCTAGAATCCTGAATGTGAATTTTAAATTTTGAGTTCAGATTGTGTTATCCTCTAGATGAACTAAGCGAAATGGTAATGGTTGTTTTTGTGTGAAATTTAAGAACAATAATTATATTTTGCAATATTACAATAAGACGGAGCACGTATTGCATTAGTAACACATGCCACATGAATAAATTTAACAACCCCAATGTGGCGTTCTTTAATTTACCAAAGTAAGATCTAGCCATGTAAGTAACAAAAACAGTATCCAACTTTTGTCACAAAGTAGGTATTTATTATTATTTATTGTTTTAGAACAAGAAAATTGCTTTAAAGCATTAAAGAGAAGATTTGATATAAGAATAAAAATATCTACATCTTCATTATTGAGTTTGCACTCAACATTTTTATAAATGAGACACTATTGGGCATTTGTTTGGAAAATAAGAACAAAAATGTTAAGGTTACAAATAACAAATAAAAATTAAAAACATTTATCATAAATAGATTTACAATAATTAAGTGTATTATTCTTTTTAATAAATAATTTAGCATAATTCACATTGTTTAAATTTATTTATCAGAACATGGAGAGTGAATTGATATTTATACAACCTTTATTATCAGGTTTTTAAATTTCCCGCTGCGTTATTTGTTTGATATCGATGAAAGCGACATATAGTGGGTCAGATGTTAACTGCGTTCGAGCTGGTCATTGTTAAGCATAAGCTTCTTATGAGCGTTTCCTATCTTTATGTCCCTTATCTCTGCTAAAATGGAAACAAAAATCAAATAACAAATTATAGACCCATTAGTCTCATAAATACCACAGAAAACAATTTTAAAAAATGTTTAAAGATTGAATGATTATCTAATAAAAAATAACATACTAAGTGAAAATCTATGGGTTTAAACAAAACACGAGCACATGTGATGCAATGTTTGAAATGGTAAATGAAATTAAAATTAACCTAGACAAAGGCAATAAATGTGTAGCAGTACTACTTATACTTATGTTGTATTTTCATATATAAAAAACCACATCTAAGAACTACTGCTACACATCCCCACAACACAAGAACTAAGTCAAATAACAGCTTAATGACACCAACATGTCAACGTGACGCCAGTCAACGATTTGTAACCACAGTTGCTCCCAAATTTTTTAATAAGCTACCGATAAACAAAATTATAACCAAATTACATATTTCGACTTAAAGCTAAACAATGTGTTGCTGTTAACTTAGATTTATTTAAGGAAATTTTATAAATTGATTGATACACTTCCATCCCACATTGGAATTTTTTTTTCTTTGTTATCGTCACAACACCTTTTGTAAATTTATACTTTACTTTATTTGTATGCTATAGCACACACAGGTGGATACACCTAGGTGCTTATTTTTCATTCTTTAAGTTATATATCTATCTATTGGATGATGCAAGAGAAATCGCATCCGATAATATTTCATAATCGACAAGTCGATAGACATTATCCACAATAACAGATAATCATTAGGTGCTAAATCTACAATTCGTTCTGCTCTTTTACTCAATTTCCACTTTTGCTGACAAAACACTGCTGGAGACGTTTACGCACCAATCCGTACTGAAATAGTGAAAATATGTATAGAACTGGAGGATCCACTGGAGACCCTAAGTAATAACCAATACGTGCGCCACAAATGATACCATCGACATTGTCATATTTTAAAAATTGTTGAATATATGGGTTCCGGAAAATACAGCCACAAGGTCAAAATTGATGTCGGTTCTCCAATATGGCCCGAAGCGAAGGTGTTAATAACCAAAGTCGCTTGAATGTTGTGGTAATTACCAATCTCAAATAGTAAATACCAAATGCTTTTGGTTATTGGCTTAAAATTGACTTTTAATTAAAACCAAAGCAGTTATTTAATTCACATTGTCATGTTCTCAAAAATAAAATAGACCTTTGCACCCTAAGAAAAATGTAATATCAGAGGGCTGCTATTTTCTAACTCATACGAGTGACTTTCGCATACGGAATTTTGGCGTTTTCGTATGAAATGCAGTAAACTGTATTTTGAAGGAATCGAAAAATATCCGTATGCGAATTTTTTCTACGGAAATACATCGCATGGTCAAAGGGATACGAATTAATGCATCCGTATACTAAATTCAACTGATTCGTAAGTGATTAAGTTAATATATGCTACAAATAAATGACAAAAAAGCGGTTCTTGAATTAAAAGCGAAATATTTAACAATATGATTAATTTAGAGAGTTTAGCAGCATTTGAAGAAGCCGAAACATTATCTAATATACATTAGAACTAAGGAGAAGATGACTCCAAGAATTAGACAATTATTTTGAGGCAAGAAGGAATATTTAACCTGCAGAATGTGTAACAGAAAATAATAATTTTTTGCTTGATAACCAAGCTTTAGGTACATATTTTTTTATTTGGTGTCATTGGCATTCGCTACTTAGGTTATTAGCCTCGTGTTCTATGTAGGCTTTGTTACTGTTTTCCAACACCACTTTCGAAACAGCACTGTTAATTAAAACCCAACAGTGGATGATTGAGTGGGGAATCCTGCCTGTACATTGGTATTAACCTTTAATTAAGTTAAATAAAAATCCCGTCACCAGCGGAATTCGAACCCGGGGCCTTTGGATCCGAAAGTCCAGACTATAACCACTGAGCCACCCACCCCCTGGTTAAATATTAATACGAATTTCGTTAAACTAAGGCTTACGTATATCGCCCTTTATGCGATACAACAAACATTTATAGCTTATTTGATTTTCCCACGTCAAAAATACCGACTTTTACGTTTATGCGAGAGAAATTAATTGAAATATGACATTATTGAATTATTTTTATAACTGTAACACCCTGTATTTCAGTAAAAATTAATATTTGACCCCGTTATTAGATAAAATAAAAATATATTTTTATTTATATAATCTGTAGGTAAAATATTACCTACCTATTTTTTAACAATCATCCTCTATAAACGGTCCCATAAATAATATACTTATTTATATTAGCTTAGAACATTTTATTAAACCTAAATATTTTAGGTTTTAATAACCTAATGCTATATTGGCCAAAATAAAAGCCGTTGAACAAGCGAAAATTTTGCAAAAATTACATTCAAACATCCTAAAATAAAATACGTGAAATAATAAAGGTCAATACAGATAACTTTTCTAGTGCTCAAAATAATGACAGTTAACCATTTATATACAGTGTGGAAACCACTTATGGAATAAAATTCTTTATGTCATTATTTTAGAAAATTGTAAAAAATGCCGAGACACGTCAACTTTTGAATTGAGTTGTGCGTTATGTAAACATAAATTTAAATGTACAGGGTGATTCACGCAAGTATGCCATAGTCGGTGTTTTTTTTTTAATGAGACACCCTGTATATTTGCATATTTTTGAAATCCTCTTAATGAACCGATTCCAACAAACTGAATAATGTATGTATGCAAATATAAAGGGTGTTTCATTAAAAAAAACAACACCGACTATGGCATACTTGCGTGAATCACCCTGTACATTTAAATTTATGTTTACATAACGCACAACTCAATTCAAAAGTTGACATGTCTCGGCATTTTTTATAATTTTCTAAAATAATGACAAAGAATTTTATTCCATAAGTGGTTTCCACACTGTATAATAAAATGTCATTAGCGGCAACAATACAGAAAAATATTGAACATTAAAAGCATCCCTTACGATTTGCAAAAATTTTCACCTTGTCATTTCTTTATTTTTGTGGTATAACTGTATTTATTCCAGCGTTGCCGACGCTAGTCATCAGATTAAAATACGAGACGAATGGCTTATCGCATGGCATCCAAAATACCAAAAACATTTTTCATACGAAAAAAATTCGTATAAGAGTACTCGAATACGAATATTTTCGCATAAGTTAGAAAATAGCAGCCCAGAAGGGTTCAGTGACGTTACACTTTTTTATACGTAAATCTAGGTTTAATAGGACAATAAAGTTTTCTTATCCAAGGTCTATTGATTTATTCTTCTGAATACTCCATATCTTACTCCTATTTTACTTTTAAACAGAAATTGTTACATACTATAGAGAATATGCAATTACCTCCAAGATATTGCAGCAAACTTGCATAGCGTGAAACTTGAAGCAAACTTATGACTAGTGGTGTAACTGGCCCATACATAAATACCATTAATCAATAAAATAGTACAAGCGGTGGGTAAAGAATAAGGGGGTCTATTTGCAAAAGGTCGGAAAGAAATAAAATTTGGTGGGATGGTAGACATGGGTTCCCTGATACTATACCTAAGTTTGCGACCTCGGGGGGTTGCCGCTCGAGGGGTGGAGGGTTGAAAACTGCGTCGCGACGCTATTTGGAAAATAACGCTGTTGTGGTAAGTACTATCGAAAAAAAGTTAAAATCAAATATGTACAGGACAAAATCGTGCACAATTTTGACCTTCACATTTTTTTGTCTGTGACCAACAGTTTCCGCTCTACGACGCGCCAAAGTAGGGGGTTGATTTGCAATGTTCAACAAAATGAGAATTTCAGTGCGAATTAAGACGAAGATCGCTAAGAAACAATTATGTAATCTTTTTTTTTCTAAAAGAGTAATGATTTCTAAATCTGCGGATGCCTGATTTGATACAGTTGGTCGTATACAGTGAGCATCATAAGTCTTACCCCCCTAACTAACTCGTTACTGGAGTTTTGTTAGGAAAATCGCCGAGACACGTCGATTTTTGATTTCTACAATGTACATTTTTGTATGAATAGTTTACCCTTAATTTCATCCCTTACTGGAGGGGAGCAACCCTTTCGAAAAATTTAAATGGCATGGGGTGGTGAAATAGCTCATTTGAAAGGGGGTTTTATTCTCTATTCAACTGTGTAAAAAATTTTAAAATTTGCTTTATTACGGGTTGATTTATTAATGTTTAAAAACAACAAAACATCACAAATAGGAAAGCAACTAAACTAACAGTGACCTTATCTAATGGCAAAAAGTCTTACTTCACGTCTAAACCAAAACCGATATCATGCAGGACCGAATTTTAATTCTAAGGATGAGTGCGCTACGTTAATTTCCGTTATTCTGAAACAATAATTAGTCGAGAATTAATGAAGCAAATTTCAAAAATTTTTGCACGGTTGAATAGAGAATAAAACCCCCTTTCAAATGAGCTATTACTCACCACCCCATGCCATTTAAATTTATCGAAAGGGTTGCTCCCCTCCAGTAAGGGATGAACTTAAAGGTAAACTATTCATACAAAAATGTACATTGTAGAAATCAAAAATCGACGTGTCTCGGCGATTTTCCTAACAAGACTCCAATACCGAGTTAGATAGGGGGGTAAGACTTATGATGCTCACTGTATAATAAATGCTATGATGTTTTGAACATTGTAAATCAACCCCCTAGTTTGGCGCGTCGTATAGTGAAAACTGTTGGCCGCCGACAAAAAAATGTAAAAGTCAAAATTGTGCACGATTTTGTCCTGTACATACTTGATTTTAACTTTTTTTCGATAGCACTTGCCACAACGGCGTTATTTCCCGAAAAGCGTCGCGACGCAGTTTTCATCCCTCCACCCCTCGAGCGGCAAGCCCCCGAGGTCGCAAACTTAGGTGTAGTATCAGGGGATCCATCCCACCAAATTTCATTTCCTTCCGACCTTTTGCGAATAGAAACCACCCACCGCATGGACTAAAAAAAAAAAGGAAACCTTTTTAGAAGTAAACTGTGACATTCCATTTAGCTTAGTAAAAAGTATTTTTGGGAACATAGGATTCCCATCTTAATGACATTGGCCCAATTAGTAAAATTTTGTTTAGCAGTAGAGATTTCTCTTTATTATTGTTTTTATTAAATTAATAATTACAACTAATATTGTACAATATTAACAAGAGAGCTATTTTAACCAATTTTACAAACTACATTTTAAGCTAAATTGGCTGAAGGGACAGACACACAAATATGCTATATTAGTGCGATGTAAGTGTTTAATATTCATTGAATTTGACATATTCATCTGGTGCAATAATGTCATTAATGCAAAAATACCAGGAAGTGACTTTTTGTCAGAAACTATGGGTAATCTCCTTATGTGCCCGGTGCATCAGTGTCGTAAATATTAACGTACAATAAATGAGCTATTTTACATTTAATATATTTCAGTCTATGAAGAGCAAAACTTGCATAATAGCTCTCCTGTATAGAATAGGATTTCTGCTCTTACGACGTTGTTGCACCTGTGTGTAAAAATGGTTTTATTTTTTTAAAAATTGTTTTTAATGTTTAAATAAATACAATCTTGAAAATAAAGATTATAGGTATTCATTATCATTTTATTTTTTATCAACTCTACTACAATTGTCAGTGGAATACAAATTATGTGATCACTAAAGCGTATTAGCTCAAAAATACTTGTGACAGTTACACTTTTAGAAATTTCAAACATATTTCAATTGTTTTCATACATCACAGCTAACTGGACTATTATTCACAATTAAGACCAATGATCTAAATAAGAAAAACTTCACGAAGTTTGTTTATATTTATATTTAAAACATCAGTTGTATAATTTATTCCAGATACATTTTTTAATTGCAACTTAAATATTTGAGTAAAATTTAATGAGAGGGGATGGAGGAGGAGATGTATATGATTTACCTTTAGATATAATGTGAATGTAACAAAGGTTTTGGCGGAGAGGCTGACTGCAGATTGGTGTTCATCCACATGCTCACAATAGCCAAGCTGTAATTATCCGGTCACGTCGTGGATGTGTAGCCGCTGAACCGTCCACCGACTTAATCGACTAGCGGTTAACCATCGACCACGTGGAATGAATGACGATGAATGAATGTATGATGAATGGGGAGGAATATGGTAACCAAATGGCGGCACAATAATCCACTTGCGCTTCAGTGTCGCCATGTGAACCCCAAGACCGATTGAGGGGAGCCAGTGGCTGGATCCCCTCAGGGGGGAGCAGAGGGATGTCTGAAAGGATGGTCAGAAACCCCCCCCCCCCAATGAGGGCCTTCGCATCACCTCTTCCGCCATCGTATTGGCGCTGATCGTTATTAATTGTTTATTTTTATTGTTATTTTATCGTTTTAGAAAAAAAAATATTAATTTTTATTTACTTTTTTTAATTAAAACAATCTTATTCGAAATATTTCACTTTGTTGATGAAGCCTCCACCATAGTTCTCAGAAACCCCTCCCATAAAAAATTAATGGCTACACCACTGCATGTGTGCTTCACTTGACATTGTTGGTTACTTGAAACGCAAATGTATATTTAATTTATGACTCTCTATATTTACTAACTTAGATTTACTTTTGATAAAAAAACATCTAACGATTTTTGAAAATTATTATATTTTTTTTAGGATGTACAGTACTTTTCACTCTATTATGGTTGAGTGACCCAACTGTTTTAACTATTATATCCTCTATTGGTTTACTACTTACTATTGGTGACTACGTATTACCTACTGTAGTAGCATCAATATTTAAAAATGACAATTGGAATGCCCACAAGCAGAATGAATATGAAGAAATTTGTACAAATATTGTTTTGTATAAGACTAAATTTGAATTGCTTGTTACGTCCTATTATAGGATGAGAGTTACCAATTCTAAAATGGTGAGTTATTAGATTGAAATCATTTATGAATATTATTATTCCTCAATATATCTTTTTTAGTACTTCACTCTAACAATTTTGGCATTATCTATATTGACGTGGATAGGAAGTGCAGTTAACAATCTTTTACTATCCTACCTATTTGTTGTGATGGTTCTTCTTCTACCTGGTATGATTTATAATGGGTTCTTGCATAAAGGTACCGAGATATTATCAAAAATTTTTAGTGACTTGGTGGAAAATGCAAAGTCAAAAGTTGGACAGAAAAAACTTGATTAAATATTTTCATTACTAGATTGGATTTGATTTGTGTTTTTGTTACAACGCTTTAACATCAATATTTTTTTTTAAATGAATAATAGAGGAAAAGTTAAGATATAGTGAGCACAAATAAACTGTTTCTGTTGAAAAACTAGTTTGTAGGTCACTATTTTACATTTTTTGATTGTATTGCAAATATAAAAATATAAAGATAAGGACTCGACAATTTGAAGGAAATGCTTTTTGCTGGTTGTAAAAGCTTTTGAACATATTGTGGGCTTACTTCGAAAAGTGACCAAGTAAAATTTTATGTGATTTGAGTTGTTATGACCAAGTCACTTGTTAATGTCAAAGCTACTAAAATAAAAAAATGACCAAGTCATATTTATACTTTCTGAAAGTACTAAACAAACTGAATCAATATGACTTGTTTTTTTTTGTAGATCTGACTTTAACAACTCACTATGCATAAAAACGTTAAATTAATGAGAACTTTACATCACATTGTTACATTGTAACTCTCATTTTTACTCTTGTTTTCATCTGTAGGACGGACTCATAACCGTCTAAGCCCGGAGTAGAGACGTTTACTTTTGTGATGAAACAATGTAGACGTTGCGGTAATATTACAACGCTACCTCAAAAATGATGTCTTTTTAACAAACCAGATGTGACATTCCTGTTATATCCAAGAAAGGCTTTTTACTTCTTGTAGATGTTATTAAAATAAGAAAAGCCTATGAGAAACGTTACAAAAAAGACTGGTAATGTCTCATATTTAGTGGGAAGTGATTTGGTCATAAATCACATAAAATTTGACTTGGTAATTTTTCGCAATTAGCCCACGATATGTTTTCTATATCTTATTAGTATAAAATATGTTATTTAAATTTAAAGATTTTAAAAATAAAGTGAGTTGTGGATTTAATCAAAAATATAAAGTAATACAATTTGGACTGTGATGAACCAGGACTAATTCAAATGGAAGTAGGATATTGTGTTGAATTTCGAAAGCATGTTGACAATCTGTGGAAAGATATAATAGTAGTCTTTCTTTTTTCAAAAAAAAGTTCCTCTATTGATTTTGTCATCATGATATAACAGTGCAACTATAATTTATATTTTTTGTTGGAAAACAATGCAAGTCACCATCAGCTTCATGACAATACGTCTTGAAGTAGAGGGAGTAATGTTTGCGAATCTCTCGTGCTGGGCTGCCGTTGAGCTTCGAGTGAGATCTCAAGTAAAGAACAATCTTTATACTATAAAAAGAAAATTAAATATCAGTTACAAAATAAAACAGTTTTGCAGATAATTCGTTTGTAATCGGATGTATTTGATTTAAAAAATATGACACTAAAAAAAGCTTTCTGATCATATCAGAATTTATAGCTGATCATCCATTGATATTGTTTATTTAACTGTACCTAAGATTTTATATTTTATGATTTTAAAGCGTTGTATTTTCGTTTAGCGTTTTTTATTGTACTAACGTATTTTTGAGAGTTTGCTCAAAATCCGATTGTATTTTATTAATAGGTAGCTGATCTTACAGTTTTATCAAATTACCAGAGTGATATTTAGACTGATGTTACCACATAATTCCTTAAATTTAATTAGTTTTATATTCAATAAATTAATTTTTTTATATAATATTGTTTTATTTAATCATTCTTCTGTTAGATGTAGATTTCAACTTGAAGCAATTGGTTTTTGTGTTTGAAATAAACGTTACCAAATTTAATTGGAAAAAAATTTAATAAAACAAAGTATAATCAATTTTTACGTTTTGGAACTTCCTGACTTTTTTTTTAAATCGGGTTCCTCTTCACTTGACTCTTCCGGTTCCAAAACAAACTTTCTTTCCATGTCAATACCAAGAATCTCTTCAAACAAAACCTCAAAGGTTATATTCTGAAAAGAAAAAATGATGGTTACAAACTTTGACTAATTACATTCTTTCTTATCTTATAGTTCTTTTATATAATAAAGATTGCATTCGTCGAACATAATCTTATTGTTGGAATATCATTAATACTATCAAATTTTTTAAATATATTTAGTTTTCGGCAGTTTAACCATTCTTTTAGGGATAAATCGCCCTTATTAAACGAGGATGCTTATCTTCCGTACTTTCAATTTCTATTCTCGATGTTTAGGTTTAATGCTACTCAAAAAGTTTATAATTTTAGAAAAGTCAATTTTACTAATTTATCTAGAGCAGCCATACTCAACCTGCGGCCCTCCAAGCTTTTTTTGTGGCCCGCAACACTATTATTGGTCGCAGCGCTAAATAGCATGCTAATTTTTAAATAAACGTTTGGAATTTTGTGGGGTTACTGCAAAAACAAGATAGCTGCACCTTTGGAATTTTCGAGTTAAGTAGGATCACTTTCTACAAGTTTGAACGAAGTCTATATTCATGATAAACACTTAAAAGAGTTTTGTGCAATTTAAGTGATTTTACTGAAAATCTACCTTAATTTTATACAATGATCTTTTTTCTCGCCATTTCGGGTTGTGAGCGACAAATTGATTTCGACTATGATTTTGGATGATGATTTTGGAATTTTCGAGAAAATGTGTAGTGATTTCCAGTGAAAATGTACCAGTATTACGGGAGTGGTTTGCCGCTACTTATTTTTGTCGAGTGTTTTTTGAAATATTACAACATTGTGCTCACGCCATTTGTTTTGTTATGACTAGAGTCGTCTCTGGCCTTTCTCGATTGTTCCGGAATCCAGGAGTTGATTACGTCACCCTTTCTTTCCGCGATACAGTTAACCTTAAATAACCGCTAGATAATAACACGTGATGTTCGAATTTCCGTGGTGAACGAGTGATTGGTCAAGATGTAACGGGTGATCGGTGAAGCTGTAACGAGTGATTCGTCAAGCTGTAACGAGTGATTCGGCAAGCCGTAACGAGCGAATCTTTATGTGAAAATTCGTAAATAAAAGTATTAGTGGTAACAGGCGAATATGAATTTTAACAATGCTTTCTAATAGACAACGTATCGAAAGATTGAGCTATCCTTAATACATTCCACAAAAAAAAATAGATTTAATATATCAATGGGCTTTATATGCCAAACCCGCACAGTATTTATTCAGAGGGATACATGAAAGGATGAAACAAAGTTTTGAAAATATTTACAAAAAAGTGCAAGAAGAAAGATTTACTAAAATTTTGCAAAATCAGATACACTTGATGAATTTCACCATTATTATCACAATCTACCTGTATCCAATAATGTTACTGAAACTTCGACTGAAGATAGTGACACATACATTGAATTATGTTTTGTATGTAGAGCTAAAATAAGCTAAGTGACGTTTTTTCTCTCTTTTTTTACCAATTATTGATAGATTATTAGTTTATACTTTGTGAACAATGTTTTCAATACCTTCCTCATTGAAGTTAATAAACGGTTTGAAGCTTTTACTGATTTTTCTGTATACAGATAAGGAAAGTATAGGAATCATGATTTTTTTCGACCTCCAGTTTTCGACGGATTTTTACGTTTTGGGGTCCCCTGAATCCGTTTTGACTATTTTCGGGATGATGTCTGTATGTGTGTCTGTGTGTCTATATCCACCATAACTCATGAACCTATACACAGAAAAACACCAAATTTTAAATAACTTAAGCTTTATTCCAGCGTCCAATGAACTGATTAGATTTTGGGCAGAGTCGGAACATCTGGGGGGGGGGGACTTTATTGGTGGGTATTTTTATATTTTATGGAATATATATTATGTTATTTACGTTTGGAGAAGCAAATTCTTCAAATAAAAGTTACTTACAATATTATCAATATTTTTTGTTGTATACAAAATTTTCGTAAAATGGTCCCTATTCGAGAAATTTGACAAAATATAAAAAAATATTTTTTTATAAAAATTGTTCAAATAAAAATTGTTTGTAATTTAATTCTCTAAAATTTTTATTCTATACATAATTTCTCTAAAGTGGACCGTATTCGAGATATTTGAGAAAATGTGTAAATTTTGAATTTTGTAGAAAACTTAAAAACGGATAAAGGAAAAAACATTAAATATTTTTCGGCCTGACGTGAATAGATTAGATTTTGGACAAAGTTGGAACATCTGGGGGGTACTTTATGGGAGGTCGTTTTTATATTTTATGGAATATGTCTGTTATTTATGTTTAGAGAAAAAAATTGTTCAAATAAAAGTTACTTCTAATATTTATTTATAATTTGATAAAATTTGATAAAATGTGCAAAATTCTGATTTTTAAGAAAATTGTTGAACTAAAAGTTGTTTGCGATATCGATCTGTATAATTTTTGATTTTACATGATTTTTCTTAAATGGACCGTAATGGAAAAATTGGAGGAAAAGTGCTAAATTCAATTTTTTCAGTATTTTCGTTTTCAATGAATATCTATAGCAAAATGTTTCAAGTTAGATGTATGTGGAAAATGTATATATTTAGTTTATCCTCTAAACATTTATAGAGGTGCTACAATAGGTTGCACAAAATAACCCGAACTAATATATAAGAACTAGATAGGAAAGTCATGCGTTGGACACATCAGATTTTATATTGAGTTTTAAACGTTTGAATAGTGTTTTATCGAAACTCTAAAATTGTGAGTTATCTTGTTTTTGCAGTAACATACCGGGATATATTTGTTTTGTGTTTTATTTATTAGAGGTCCCCCACTAACTAATTTTAGATAGATGTCCTAAAAAAAAGGTCATCATCCAAAAATATTGCGGCCCGTGTAACATAGCACATATACGAATGTGGCCCGAAGGAAAAAAAGGTTGAGTATGGCTGATCTAGAGAGTTATACGAAACAAATCGGGACTTTCTTCTTAATATTGATGAAATTGATGGATCGGTAAACATTTTTTATAATAAAATTTTCTCCATATTCGATAAATATATTTTATAGGTTTTAGACATTCTCATGTCCCCTGGTTTAACGCATAAATTATAGTAATAATAATTTATATTTACTAGAATTTCGACGTTTGAGACGTTTAGTCAAAGAGCAAATTAAGTTAGCCTATGATGACAATATTGAAAATATTCAAACTTTTTAACTAAGTCCTAGATAGTTCTGGTCATATATTCACGCTAAAAACAAAAGTTCTAGAATACCTGGAAAAATGGTAGGTATACAAAGAAAATAACTTTGACGAGCCACAAAATATTGTAAATGTGTTCAGCGATTTTTTTAAAAGTGTTAATAAATATTGATGTTCTGATAATTCAAGAAAAATTTAATCCAATTCATGAATATGAAATAATTGGTGCCAGCCAAAGAAGTAGAGAGGGTAGAACGATAAGGTACCGTCTGCGCATCCATCACGAGTGTAGAAATTATGCGTGATTCAGCCTTCCACTTTTACACACGTAAATGACAAGGAGAGGTTGCCCCAGTGGCGGATCTAAGCAGGAGTGGGCCTCGGTGCAAACCCCTACTTGTAGTACATCATTGAAAAGCCTATAAGAAAAACTATCCAATGATATAAATAATAATTGTCAATAATTACCAAATTAAATATCTAAAACGATTTTAAAAACAAACATTCCCTATACTTGTGATACAATGTTAAACATCTCTAAAAGCCAATAAAACCTTATTTTCAATGATAAATGTCTGTAGGTACTTTTTTATCTTTCGTTGACATACCTCACGAGTTATTGGACCCCTTCAAGAAGCGTTTGTAGTGGTTTACCAAAACAGCAATGTACAGTGTAGTGAAAAAATGGCTTATTACCGTACTCATAAATATATTAATAACAATAATTTTACATTTAGTCTTGTAGACGTGGATGCTGTTCTCAAAACACTTGAAGTTAAATCGAATGCCAGTGGTGAAGATAACATCTCTCTGGATATGCTTAAATTATGTATGCCAGTCATTTTACCGTATATTACACATATTATTAACTGTTGTTTAGAACAAGGTTATTTTCCTGATCAGTGGAAAAAAGCAGTTGTACCAGTGGTTAAAAAAAAGTAACCCTTTATCATTCAACGATTTAAGGCCTATAATTTTGCTTTCGGTTCTCTCTAAAGCTTTAGAGAAGATTGCGTATAAACAGATTTATAGCTTTCTCACTTCAAATAAAATATTGCCCTTACACCAATCAGGATTTAGGAAAGGACACAGTATGACCACAGCTGTTACTTAACTGATTCTATCATAACGGGATTGGATGATAGCTTCAGCTCTTGTGTTGCTTGACTATAGTAAAGCATTCGACACCCTCAACAATCTGCTATTAATCTCTAAATGTAGTTATTATGGTCTTAGTGACAAATCTCTTAATTTTATTAAATCTTATCTTAGTAATCGTTCACAAAAAGTTCCAGTAAATAATCGAGTCATCTGCATTTGAGTCCATAAAATCAGACTTACTACAGGGCTTCGTCTTAGGTCCCTTACTCTTTCTTCTGTATACGTCAGACTTGTGTGAACAAACTCTGACATGTAAAATCCAGTTTTTGGCTGATGATACCCAACTACATCATTCATTTCATTCCATTAATGCAGAAGTAGCAAGTAAAGCGGTTAATAAGGAACTAGCTAGAATAAAAAAAATTTCTTTGGATCATAATCTGCATTTAAATCCATCTAAATCCAAATCAATCATATTTTCTAATGCCCAATCTCGATCTTATATTAAAAATAATTTTTCCATAAAACTTGACGATGAGACAATTCCTATGGTACATGTAGCCAGAAGTCTGGGCTTACTACTGGATGAGAATCTTCGATTTATTGAACATATCAACAGTTTGTCCACTCAATGTTATCTAATTCTCAAACTTCTATACGCTAATAAAGATATGAAAAAATACTTATGTGAAACTCTAATCCTTAGCAAAATTTTTTATTGTGATATAATTTTTTATCCTTCTCTAGATTC